TGCAGAATAAGCCAATTACTCCTCTCAAGATATAAAAGAGAATATTAAAGATGTGCTAGAGAGGCTGCCAGGGACAGTGTCCTTGTGGAGGATTGCTGGGGTGCCATGCAGTTCACCCTAATGGGAGGAGGGAGGTAGAAAAGGGGTGCCCTTCTGCAACCCACCTGCTTCAGATCAGAGAGAAACCAGAAAATATTAGAAAATGTTGGAAAACTTGAAGTGTGGAGAGTATGCATGGACTGGTGTCTCATTGGTGGTTTTTTGTTTTGCTTTGTTTTTTAGAGACAGGGTCTCACTCTGTCGCCCAGGCTGGAGTACAGTGGCATGATCATAGCTCACTGCAGCCTTGAACTTCTGGGCTCAAGCTATCTTCCTGCCTCAGTTTCCTGAGGAACTAGGACCACAGGTGTGCACCACCGTGCCTGGCTAATTGAAAAAAAAAAAATTTAGAGAGGGGGTCTTGCCAGGTTGCCCAGGCTGGTCTCAAACTCCTGGCCTCAAGCGATCCTCCCACCTCAGCCTTCAAAAGTGCTGGGATTACAGGTAAGCCACCATGCCCAGCCTCGCTTGCATTTCATAAAAAGGCTGAAAGCCAGAGGCTGTGGCTGAGCTTCCCTGGAGGCAGGGGGAGGAGTGGGCTCTAGGAGGAGCTGGAAGCACCACACCAGGGGCATCACAGGGGTGATGACTTCCACGGGCCAGAGTCACCTTGATCTGGGCCAAAGAAAGAAAGAAGGAGACTCCATCTGAGAAGACCGTCTGGGGAGGAGGGGAGGTGGCAGCAGTAATCCCCACCTACAGGGAGTCAGAGTGGATAGAAGATGAAGGGGCCAACCCAGGAATGATCGTTGGTTGTGCCCAGTGGGACTGTCCAAGATCCCCACAAGAGGGAGCCAGGAGACACACAGTCCATATGTGGCCATGCGCCACACTTGCGTGGGCAGATTAGCCCTGCCCCAGTCAGAGACAGCCTTTTCAGCCCCTCAGCCCTTCTCCCCTCTTCCCTTGAATCCCAAAGGAGCACAGTAAGTTCGGGGAAAGGACTAGTGGAAGACAGATGAAGGGATAGGAAGGAAGTTAACTGTGGCCTGGCCACACTGTAGACCTCCTAGCTGGAGGCAGGATGCATCTAAGGAGAGGAAACACTATGGTGAATTGGATGTGGGTTGAGGCTGGGCGCAGTGGCACACGCCCATAATCCCAACAATTCGGGAGGCCAAAGCAAGAGGATCGCTCAGGGCTGAGAATTTGAGACCAGCCCGGCCAACGTAGCAAGATCCTGTCTTCATGTATTTACTTTTAAAATATTTTTTAAAAATAAAAATAAAAAATAAATGTGTGTTGGCATTTCAACTATGTATTAGATTTTTTAATATCTGAAAGTGATAGGTAAATCAGTGAACTCAGAAATTCATCCAAGGACAGAGAAGAACAATTCTTGGAAAAATACATGACATGGTGTTGAGGAAGAATCAGGTTGGTGTTTAGCATCTCTCTGCAGAGCCCACCTTGTACACAGGGCCCTGGGAGATAGTGGGAAAACGGGGAGGCCACACCACGGCAGAAGACTCTCTAGAGGCATGTCTCTGCCCTGCTCTTCCTAGGGAATTTTTGCACTTTTTCTTATGGAGCCTGGAGGTGGCTGATGAGTGATGATGGCTGAACTGGTTCTGCAGAGATGGTCTGGCACCTGCGGTTGTTGAGCTTTGAAGCGTCTGCCAAATGCAAGGAGGGCACAGGAAAAGTCACATTTCATGCCCCATTGCAAAAGAATAGGATGAGTTGATGTGAGCTAAGTACTATGCACAATGCCTGGCACCCAGGAAACGGTATATGGAAGGTACAGCATCTTCATTTTACTACAGACAGAATGGATGCTAAAATTCATCCAAATCTTTCATTGTCTCTACAATCTGAAATTCCACTCTCTGGTTAATAAAGTTGTCTTTAAGAAAGCGGTTTTTCATTATGGAAATGAAAATCGTGAATAACACACTCAAGTCCAGCCTCAGTCCCGGGCGGATCCATTATGCAAAGGGACCCTGCCTTTTGCAACATACGACACACAAACCCACAGCGGGTTCCAGTCCCAATGGTGCACTTGTCTGACAGGATCTTCGCTCAGAAAGAAACAGTTGTCAGGTTCATGTTGTGGCCTAGCAGGAGTTTAGAAAGTTCCGTAAGGGAAAATAATGTAGACAAACTTTGAACCTGTCCCAGGTGTGTTGATTTGATGCCAAACCATGGATAGGTAACTTGATTCAGCTGAACCTCGTTAAAATAATGCTGGAAAACATTAACATTACCGCAACATTCTCTTTTATTTATTTATTTATTTTTTTTTTTTGAGAAGGAGTCTTGCCCTGTTGCCCAGGCTACAGTGCAGTGGCGCAGTCTTAGTTCACTACAACTTCTGCCTCCTGGGTTCAAGTGATTCTCCCACTTCAGCCTCCTGAGTAGCTGAGATTACAGGTGTGCACCACTACGCCTGGCCAATTTTTGTATTTTTAGTAGAGATGGGGTTTCACCATGTTGGCCAGGCTGGTCTCAAACTCCTGACCTCGGGTGATCCACCAGCCACGGCCTCCCAAAGTGCTGGGATTACAGGCGTGAGCCACCATGCTCGGCCCATTACTGCAACACTCTAAGAAATCACTAATAACCATGTCATTATGGAGAAGCCCAAACCTTCCTATTCTATTTAACTTGTACTAATTAGAAAAAGGCACTTTGATTGCTGTAACATAAGCCTATCACCCACTGAATGTAGAGTCCATCATTACTGGAATCTATTTTGATGAGCACCTGCTTTGGGGGATGGAATCCTCTATGTGAGGCCTCTTTCTGTCTAATAAAGGGCTCTTTACCTTTTTATATGGTGATTTGGTGGCAGATGACAGTCAACATGTCTCTGAATCATCATGAATTTTTAGCATTATACAGAACTGGTTTAGAGATCAAAACTAACATCATTTTGTTACGATACAGGTGCTGTGTAATAAAAAGGAGGAGTCATTTGTAGAGCTGAGAAACCTTTTTTTAATAAGTTAGATTTTAGTCCAGGCATGGTGGCTCACTCCTGTAATCCCGGCACTTTGGGAGGCCAAGGCGGGCGGATCACCTGAGGTCAGAAGTTCGAGACCAGCCTGACCAACATGGTGAAACCCAGTCTCTACTAAAAATAAAGAATTCGCTGGGCGTGGTGGCCTGCTCCTGTAGCCCCAGCTGCTTGAGAGGCTGAAGCAGGAGAATCGCTTGAACCCAGGAGGCGGAGGTTGCAGTGAGGTGGTATCACACCACCGCACTCCAATCTAGGAGGTTGCAATAAGCTGAGATTGTGCCACTGCACTCCAGCCTGGGCAACAGAGTGAGACTCCATCTCAAAAATAATAATAATAAAATAGTGAATAATTTAGATTTTAATTCGTTCAACAAATATTCATCAAGGGCTTACATGCCCATAGATAAGTGTTGCAATAAAAAGCAGAATTTTTACATTTCTATTTTTTAAGGAAGGCATTTTCTGACATTTACGGGTAAGGATAGCCCAAGAATATTTTCACGTATCTTGTTGTTTCACAGCTCAAGCTATGGGAATGAAAATCTGAGTTTCTAAGGACTTCCCCGAGACAGCCTGAGACAGGGGAGGTAACTTCCACTATCTCCTAGGTAGGCAGTAGGTAACTAACCCTGCGGTGCAGAACCAGTGCTCTGAAAATGATCAGGAAAAATACCCCAATATCTACTGCTTCCTTCTAAGTGGGAAGATGGGGAAAGAATATTAGAAGAAAAAATCAAAGTGGATAATTATGAGAAAATTATAACGGTAAAAATAAAACATGAAAGATAGGAAAAGCAGCAGTTCTATATTATTAAGTCTTGTTATGGCAGTTGGTTCCTTTTATTTTCAAGTGGGTTGACCTGACATTCTATTCATTTTGACTTTAAATGCTAGAAGAGTACCTTTCAGCCAAAAAAAAAATTTTTAAAAATCAATGTGAAATTTTCATTGTTATAATTGAAAAGTCGGCCAGGCGTGGTGGCTTATGCCTGTAATTCCAGAACTTTGGGAGGCCTAGGCGGGAGAATCACCTGAGTTCAGGAGTTCGAGACCAGCCTGGCCAACATGGTGAAACTCTGTCTCTACTAAAAATACAAAAATTAGCTGGGTGTGGTGGCACGTGCCTATAATCCCAGCTACTCAGGAGGCTGAGGGAGGAGAATCATTTGAACCCGGGAGGTAGAGGTTGCAGTGAACTGAGATCATGCCACTGCACTCCAGCCTGGGCAACAAAGCACGACTCTGTCTCTCTCTCTCTCTATATATATATATATATGAAATATGTATATGAAATTTACATATTTTATATACGTATATATTTCATATACATATATGTGTATATATTCATACATGTATGTATTTCATATACATCTATAAATATATATATTTCATGTACATATATGTGTGTGTGTATATATATATATGAAAAGTAACCATAAACATCTAGCGAGCTGCAGGTGGAAAGATAGAACACCTAAACAGATAAACAAGTGTCTAAAAATGTTGGCAATTGAGCAACCAAACAAAAGGCATCAGACCTCACCCTGATCCATATCAGATCTCAGAGTCATCTGTGGAATCTTCCTCCCTGAACTTTTTAAACATCCAATGTCAAATTCCTCCCCTCCCACATCCCCGTCCCTGCCCTCCCCATTCACGTACACCCTCTTTTCCCTGTCTTGCTGTGAAACTTGGCTTTTGCCATGCACCCAGTCCCCAGGCTAACCGCCGCCCCCAACACCACATTACTTTTGTTCTTCTCTTCTGGAATACTGACGTCCAAGCCTAACATCTGTCACGTGAAGCACTGCAATTAAATAGCCTCCTAACCAGCCCCCCTTTCTCTCTGTTCTGCTACAGAGTGATGGCTCAAAACCAAATCAGGGCATGGCATTACCTGGCTTTAAAACCACTCACAGTTCTCTCACCTGCAGAATAAAGACCACACCCTCCAGCATGACATTCAAGTTTTTTCTGAACCTGCCTCAGCAGCGTCACAGTGATGGCGATGGTGAGATCACACACACACATTTATACATTTATAGTGGGACACACTTCGTGATCCTCTGGAGTTCCTCTTTCATGTTTTAGCTCCCACCGTTGCCTCTGCCTGGATTGCTTTTCTCCTTTATCTGCCTGGTGAAGTCTCATCCTTCAAGTACCAGCTCCCCAGCTCCATTACTTCCTGGAAGAGAGCTCACGTCGAGCTAGAGTTGAGAGTGGTTCCTCCTGATGGCCCAACACAACAAGGCTGAGTAAGTGTGTGTGTCTACGGGCAGGGATGGCTTCTGCTACTCAAGAAAATCAAAGAAACAAGAGGATTATTTTTAAAATAACAGAAATGGAAACAAACTGAATGAATTTTTTAAAAGTCGCTGGAATGAAAAGAATGAAATGTGTCACAAAATAAAGAGACAAGATGATTTCAGGTCCTTTTTTATTTTCAAGTGGCTTCACATGCCATTCAATTTCACTTTAAGCACTGAAACAGCACAAGCCAACCTTTTATTAAAAAGAGAGAGAGAAAGCCATTTATTTCCATATTAACTAGAAACAAGTAATGCGTCAGGTGTTTTAAAAAGAACCTGATTGCCTTAATATCATCAACAGTGCAACCTCTGGATGAGGGTGCAGGCTAGTAAAAATAAAAACAATGATTGACACTTTTTTTCTATTTTCTTACCTACAGGGATTAAAAGGATTAGCTAGCTGATGGATTGGAATGTTAAAACTCTCAGAAAACATATTTCCCTAGTTACAGATACAAACAATGAAGAACACTTGTCTTTGTGTCAAATTCTAGTAAATAAATATTCAGGTATATTACGAGGAAGTTAAAAGGTTTATTTCAATGCCAAAGGGGGAGCTGGTGAAGGAAACTGGTTGTAAACTATTAGAGTTCTCCTTTCCCATCGTCTGCAGGGAAGAAAACACATCAGTTCATTTTCCAAGCGCAGATCATCCCCAAACGTCATGTGCAAAATTATGCTTACCTGTCTATTAAGATAAAATGAATCGGCAGTGAAACTTACACTATGTTAAAGAGAGAACAGCAAAGATGAGACAAGGTATAAATTCTGAACCCGCCAGCTAAATATTACAGGAGGGTGTCCTTTTCACTTTGTAGGTCCTAGCTGAAACCTGTTGCAAAAAGGGTGGTGGAGAGTTAGCTGAAATCAAGATTCCCTGGAAGTCAATCCAAAATGGATTTGCAGAATGAGGTCTGCAAGGACAAAAGTCAAATTGAATCATGTCCTTTTATTACCTGGCTGGAAACTGGTCCATACCCCTCACCATTCCCTTGATTCTGTTTACACTAAGACATTTCTGGGCCTTTGCTACTCCTGACTCTGCCTGAAATGTCCTTCCCCAACCTTCTCTGACTCATAAAATCTTATAGATCCTTTATGACCCAGTCCAAATGTCACTTCAGTGACCCTGCCACTTTGGCCCCATGTCCCTGGAAACAGCCCTCTGCATATACTTTTATTACACTGTTTATCTCTTGATATCATGGCTGTTTCCTCCTATGCCTGTCTCTTCCTCTGAACTCAGCCTGTTCCATCTTTCTGAGCACCAAGCTCAGCGAGCACTCAAAGAATGCTTGATGAAAGAATGAGTAAATTAATGCATCAATGGAGATGAAGTTGCTGGCCTCAGACCTGCCCATGTCACCCCCTGTCTTAAACTCTCTAGTCCCAGTTTCCAGTATCCCTTTGTCATAAGGCAAGGTCATTAGATGATTTCTAAAATAACTACAACTTCAGGATTCTAAAGCAGTTTTCTTCTGTATCCGTTAATTATTGCTGCATGACAGTCCATCCCCGAAGTTAATGATTGACTATTTATTATTTTGCTATCATTTGATGTTCTTGTCTGGGCTCATTCATGAGACTACATTCAGCTGGCTGCAAATCAGGGACCAAGATGGACTTGTCAGGAGCCTTGGATCGAGCTGGCAGCTGGGTGCCTTGGTCCTCTTCCAAGCATCCTTTCCTCCTCCACACACTAGACTAGTTTTTTCACTTGGACAAGCTCCCATGCACAAGCAACTCTCAAGTCTCTGCTATGTCATACTTACGGGTGTCCCATTGACCAAGGCAAGTCACACGGCCAAGCCTAGTCATTGATTGGTGAATTAGATTCAACTTCTTTCTAAGCAAAGTGGCAAAGAATTTGTAGTCATTTTTAGTCTACCAGAACTTCATAGAAATCCTATTAATTTTCTTGTCACCACCATTGTAAATGGGATTTTTTTTTTTTTTTTTTTTTTTTTTTTTTTTTTTTTTTGCCTCTTCCTGTCAATATTTTTACCCTTACATTTAGGCCCTTATCTAATTTTATTGGTTAGTCCTTCCAGCTCAATGCTTAAAAAATAGTTCTGAGGCCGGGCTCGGTGGCTCACGCCTGTAATCCCAGCACTTTGGGAGGCCGAGGCGGGCGGATCACGAGGTCAGGAGATCAAGACCATCCTGGCTAACAGTGAAACATCGTCTCTACCAAAAATACAAAAAATTAGCCGGGCGAGGTGGCGGCGCCTGTAGTCCCAGCTACTGGGAGGCTGAGGCAGGAGAATGGCTTGAACCCGGGAGGCGGAGCTTGCAGCGAGCCGAGATGGCGCCGCTCACTCCAGCCTGGGGGACAGAGCGAGACTCCGTCTCAAAAAAAAAAAAAAAAAAAGTTCTGAACTTGCCGGGAATGCTTACGCTATTAAACTACTTATAATGTTGGCCATTGATTTAAGTAGATATTCTTTACCACTGAGGGAAATATCCCTCTATTTTATTTCACCATGGGTTTTTGTGGTTGTTGTTTAAATTAGTCATTCATGTTGAATGTTAACAAAATAGAATCTCAGAGGATCGAAAAACTGTCTGTTGGGTACTATGCTTACTACCTGGGTGATTAACCTGTACATCAAACCCCCATGGCACGCGATTTACACATATAATAACCTCCACATGTATCCCTGAACCTAAATAAAAGTTTAAAAATTGATTTTGGCCGGGCGCGGTGGCTCACGCCTGTAATCCCAGCACTTTGGGAGGCCGAGGCGGGCGGATCACGAGGTCAGGAGATCGAGACATCCTGGCTAACACGGTGGAACCTTGTCTCTTCTTAAAAAATACAAAATATTAGCCAGGCATGGCAGTGGGCGCCTGCAGTCCCAGCTACTCGGGAGGCTGAGGCAGGAGAATGGCGAGAACCCCGGAGGTGGAGCTTGCAGTGAACCGAGATCACGCCACTGCACTCCAGCCTGGGCAACAGAGCGAGACTCCGTTTCAAAAAAAAAAAAGATTTTAAATTTTACAGAAAGAATCTGTTAGTATTTTTTAATTTATTAATATAACAGGTATTATGAATAGATTTCTTACTACCGAGCATTCATTCTGTTTTTTATACAGGTCCTTCCTCTCCTGCCTCCTACCCTTAGCTGTCAAGAAATGACTATTCTGCATACAGACTGTCAATGGATTTCAGCCTTCCAGTTCCACTTCTTCCTCTTCCCCAGCTGTTAGCATCTAGTTCTGTGCAGTCCAGTCCAATGACAACATACCACGTGACGCTACTGAACACTCCGAATATGGTGAGCCTGAATTGAGGTGTGACACAGTGTAAAAGACATAGAACTTGAATGCTTAGCACCAAAAAAAGAATATAGATCTCTCAGTAATAATTTTAATATGAGTACATGTTGAAATGAAATCGTTTTAGATATACTAGATTAAATATAGTATGAAAATTAATTTCACATTTTTTACCTTTTTTAATGTCACTGCTAGAAAATTTTAAATTATATTACCTACATAACTATATATATCTCTATTGGACATCACTGATCTAGAGGAATTCTACTCTTTGGTTGTAGATATTTCTAAGATATTTTGATATTCCTATTTAAAGATAGTTGACCAGGGATGTTGGCTCAAACCTGTAATCCCAACACTTTGGGAGGCCAAGACGGGTAGATCGCTTGAGGCCAGGAGTTCAAGACCAGCCTGGCCAACACGGTGAGACCCCGTCTCTACTAAAAATGCAAAAAAATGAGCTGACCATGGTGGCGTGGTGGCATATGCCTGTAGTTCCAGCTACACAGGAGGCTGAGGTACAGAATTGCTTGAACTTCAGAGGCAGAGGTTGCAGTGAGCTGTGCCCCTGTACCCAGTCTGGGCAACAGAGCAAGACTCTGTCTCAAAAAAATAAAATAAAATAGAGATAGTTGAACATACTTGTGATCCATAGTCAGAGTTTCATCCTGGCTTTGTTCTCACCTCTTTCTATACATGCCCCAGATAATCCCCTCTCCTCTGGGTTTGGCCACGTGACTTAGCAAATGCAAGCAGAGGGTTAAGAAGTGTTTGTGTATTAGAGTTGCCTTCTCTTGCTGTTGGAACCCTGAACCGCCAAGCGAAGAAGCCAGGCCAGCCTTTTAGAGGATGAGAGGCCATAAGGAAAGAGAGGCCGTGCTGTCTCACACATCTATTTCAGCCAAGCCCAGATCCCAGCCCATAGCTGACATCAGCCCCATGACTAAGCCCAGGCAAGACCAGCAGAAGTGTTACCCAGCCCAGCCAGAGAATCGAAAGAAAAAACAAACCGTTGTTGGTTTGTCACAAAATGTGGATGTAATTTTTATGCAGCACAGGCCAACTGACTCAACGCTCTATGTCTTTGAGATGGAAATCATGCTACATGTATGGTGAGCACTGGCCATCCTCAATTTAATTAGTGAAACTGATTGCCAACTTCTCTAGTCTCTTGCGATTTTATTTTAAACTAGTCAACCTGTCACTGGTAAGTCATTTCTTTTTCTTTTTTTTTTTTTTTTACTTTTAATGTACAGGTTTTATTTTATTTTATTTATTTTTTTATTTATTTATTTTTTTATTATTATTATTATACTTTAAGTTCTAGGGTACATGTGCATAACGTGCAGGTTTGTTACATATGTATACTTGTGCCATGTTGCTGTGCTGCACCCATCAACTCGTCAGCACCCAACTACTCGTCATTTACATCAGGTATAACTCCCAATGCAATCCCTCCCCCCTCCCCCCTTCCCATAATAGGCCCCAGTGTGTGATGTCCCCCTTCCCGAGTCCAAGTGATCTCATTGCTCAGTTCCCACCTATGAGTGAGAACATGCGGTGTTTGGTTTTCTGTTCTTGGGATAGTTTGCTAAGAATGATGGTTTCCAGCTGCATCCATGTCCCTACAAAGGACACAAACTCATCCTTTTTTATGGCTGCATAGTATTCCATGGTGTATATGTGCCACATTTTCTTAATCCAGTCTGTCACTGATGGACATTTGGGTTGATTCCAAGTCTTTGCTATTGTGAATAGTGCCGCAATAAACATACGTGTGCATGTGTCTTTATAGCAGCATGATTTATTTATAGATTCAATGCCATCCCCATCAAGCTACCAATGAGTTTCTTCGCAGAATTGGAAAGAACTGCTTTAAAGTTCATATGGAACCAAAAAAGAGCCCGCATCTCCAAGACAATCCTAAGTCAAAAGAACAAAGCTGGAGGCATCACACTACCTGACTTCAAACTATACTACAAGGCTACAGTAACCAAAACAGCATGGTACTGGTACCAAAACAGAGATATAGACCAATGGAACAGAACAGAGTCCTCAGAAATAATACCACACATCTACAGCCATCTGATCTTTGACAAACCTGAGAGAAACAAGAAATGGGGAAAGGATTCCCTATTTAATAAATGGTGCTGGGAAAATTGGCTAGCCATAAGTAGAAAGCTGAAACTGGATCCTTTCCTTACTCCTTATACGAAAATTAATTCAAGATGGATTAGAGACTTAAATATTAGACCTAATACCATAAAAACCTGGAGGAAAACCTAGGTAGTACCATTCAGGACATAGGCATGGGCAAAGACTTCATGTCTAAAACACCAAAAGCAACGGCAGCAAAAACCAAAATTGACAAATGGGATCTAATTAAACTAAAAAGCTTCTGCACAGCAAAAGAAACTACCATCAGAGTGAACAGGCAACCTACAGAATGGGAGAAAATTTTTGCAATCTACTCATCTGACAAAGGGCTAATATCCAGAACCTACAAAGAACTCAAACAAATTTACAAGAAAAAAACAAACAACCCCATCAAAAAGTGGGCAAAGGATATGAACAGACATTTCTCAAAAGAAGACATTCATACAGCCAACAGACACATGAAAAAATGCTCATCATCACTGGCCATCAGAGAAATGCAAATCAAAACCACAATGAGATACCATCTCACACCAGTTAGAATGGCAATCATTAAAAAGTCAGGAAACAACAGGTGCTGGAGAGGATGTGGAGAAATAGGAACACT